CACTCTCGCTATCATTCTGCATTATTGTTCACACCCTACTGTATTTCTAGGCCTCCGGTTCTGAAACTGCCTAGGTGAAATTGCCATATTTATAGTCTGCACAATTGTCATAATTAAAAATGGCCACTGCGTTAAAAAAAAACACGGTTAATTGGAAAAGCTACATTAAGTCAATGCCGCAGACGCCAGCAAAGACCATCAGATCCACTTCACCATCTTCCTAGTCATCTTTAAAAGCATAAAAGCAGAAAATTTCATAGTCAAATTCTCCATGTCATGAAAGTGCAAAATATTATACAATGGTTTTTTTTTAACGAGACCCATACTACATGAACCACAGTTTTAATTAGTAAATAAAATCTTTAAAAATAATAAGATTTGGGAGTTTGGGAGTTTCCATAAAGACAGTGAATTTTTAAAGTTTACAAAATATGAGGATTTTATATGCTTTTCTACACAGTGTAATTTATTTTTCCTGACACTTTAGGTGTCCTAAATTTCAAAAAAAATACGTCCATACATGGTAAAGGAGTCACACAAAGACAAGTCATCTTGGTAGTAGTTACAATAGACATTAACATATCCATCCTTAGCAGAAATATTAAGTTTTCTTTGCTGTGTGTAAAGTATCTTAAGTTTTTATCCTATGCCTTTGGGGGCATAACTGTTCCTAGCCAGGGCACTGCATGGATAAGCATATTACGGTATCTGTAAATAATGTAAGCATATTTTCCTTTCCTCTGCAGTTACGTATGGATATACAAATATGTATTGCATTAATTATCACAGAAACTGAAAGCATTTCCATTCAGTGCCACCTTTGTCCAAACAACCAAAATTGCTTGAGAAAGAATGGAAAGTATACATTGGTGCCCATTTTATTGCAGCATGTTGTGATACTTCTATGTACATCTCTGAATGCACACTCAACCTCCCCCCCCCAAAAAAAAACAGAATAGTAAACGGGTTTATGGTGGTTCCTCTATACATAAGTCCATGAAGAAGTATATCATATTGGAAATACACCTTGCATTTGGAATACATTTTGTGATATAAAAATGTTTCCAAGGTTTTTTTCGTCTGTGTGCTTTTCGTGGGTTACAAAAAGCGCACACACAGTATAGAACACACATATTGCAAAATTGTTATTAGGGTTACACAAGGCATTTCAAAAGGTTGGTTTGCGGAGCCTTTAAACAGCCAGGGTATTTCAAAACAGTCAGCATCTTCAATTGTCTTCCCATGCCTCTGCGTGCACAGCCATATTGCTTTGTTCATTGTCCCACTGAGGCAGCCAAGGTAAGTTTTTGAAACAGCCATGCTGAGCTTTTCAGGTGACACAGTTGCTTTAATGCTTCAAGGCATTTTTGCTTGCAACAATGCGCTTAATGGTGCTCATAAAGCACCCCTCTCAAACACTATGCACAGTTCTAGTCATTACTCCTGAGCATAACTACTTTTTCATCACATCCATGTAGGCACTTAGATCACAGTAAACGGAGGGAAGAGTTTCATTCTTTCACAATGTTTTCAAAAGGGTAAATAAGAACACCGCGGGATATAGCATTCAGATGATATTCTATATCGCTGAAAATCAGAAATTCATGTTGTTCACTGTGGTATAACCAATCTAAGCAAAGAGGATTTCAGGGTTAACTGCGCTCAGTTTAAGCGATTTCCCCCTTATAGCTTGAATTTTAATGCCTTGCAAAGAGTTGCAACTATAAAGAAAGCACAAGTAGAAGATATAAAAAGGACTATGTAGAACATTACAAGGGTCTTTCAAAGCATGGCCCGTTTAAGGTTCACATTTGCAGCCATATTTAAGCAGCAGACAATGTTTTTTAAAAGAAAGTTCGGCTTCCAGGAAGAAACCAAGTCCTCTCGCACTAAAATTAATGAGAGCCGTGTAAGAACAACCGAGCTGTGGAAAACCACGTACCAGATCCCAGGAGAAATAGGATGCTTTTAAAAAGTAAAGCAAGTTCTAACAGCCCACCAAAAAGGAAGTTACTTACTTCTTCTGAGTAGTGGTCTGATGGAAGGGGTGGATAATCGCATTGTTCTATCTTTTTACATAAAGAGTACAGGTTCATTTTATCACCATAGAAGGGGCTTTGCAATGCAGCCATCTGTGTGGAGTAATAAAAAAAGATATACTTTTAACTCAGCGGTTCTCAGCCTTCCTAATGCCGCGAGCCTTTAATACAGTTCCTCAAGTTGTGATGACCCCCCAACCACAAAATTATTTTCACTGCTACTCTATAATGTAATTTTGCTACTGTTATGAATCGTAATGTAAATATCTGATATGCAGGATGTATTTTTATTGTTATAAATTGAACATAATTAAAGCTTAGTGATTAAATCACAAAAACAGTATGTAATTATAACCCGCTAAAAAGTGAAAATGCCCACGTCGCCAAGCAAAACCGGTAATAATAATTAAAAATATATCTTCATACAAAGAACTCGTAATTAGAGGGATCAAGAGTTTTTTTCTATGATTGTTCAGCGGTTGCCAGGGAGTTAGCTGGGAGTAAAAAGCAATAGCAATAGCAGTTAGACTTATATACCGCTTCATAGGGCTTTCAGCCCTCTCTAAGCAGTTTACAGAGTCATCATATTGCCCCCAACAACAATCCGGGTCCTCATTTTACCCACCTCGGAAGGATGGAAGGCTGAGTCAACCTTGAGCCGGTGAGATTTGAACAGCCGAACTGCTGAACTGCAGTCAGCTGAAGTAGCCTGCAGTGCTGCACTCTAACCACTGCGCCACCTTGGCTCTGCTTGTGCAACTGAGCCCCGCTTGTGCAACTGAGTAGCATTAATAACCTGGTGTCTTCCCAATAGGAAAAACAGTGGCCGGTGCAGTAAATGTATAGTGTCCCATCTTGCTTGCCTGTGGATGCACAGCCCCCCAAAAAGGAAAGAGACATGTACACACCGGGACTTCAAACTTGGCCTCTTCCCCCACCCCACTACACAGACTTTCTCTTGCTGCAGCTTAGAGCAGCGCTCAATTCCACCTCGCGTGGCTTTATCCTTCCTCAGCTCTTTTCTAAGCCAATCATAGGCTGTATCCAATGCTCTGTCATGCCAAAACCACGCCCCTCGGCTCTGATTGGCTTGGAACCCAATAACCGTGTGCAATGAGAAGCTCCAAATCTCATACCAATTTACACAAACTTTTTAAAAGGGCCAGAAGTGCAACTGAGATTTCTCCCCCCACCACCACCACATATAGACTCCCTATTTTTTTTTACATTTGCGTTTCTCCTCCTACTTCCCTCCGTGTGAATTTGTGGGTGTGTGCATGCACGTGTGTGCGCGCGCGCGTGAGAGAGTGTGACACAGCATGCTTTAGTGTCTAAAGATTTAAGAGTTCCGATGGTCTTAGGCGACCCATGTGAAAAGGTTGTTCGACCCCCAAACGGGTCGCGACCCACAGGTTGAGAACCAGTGTTTTAACTGATGTGGCAGAGAAGACTCAAATACAGAGGTTTGGGGGTTATTTTTTTAAAATCCTAGTTTTAATTGGAGGCAAATACTTATTTTCTCTCTACACTATTGATTTGAGTCCCTTACTTCTCACATCTGACCTTCAGCATATTGGATTAGATCGTTTCTATATCATTATAGAACATTCCTCAGCTAACATTCCTGTTGCATAAATTAAATAAAATGTATTATGTATCCAGAACACTATTCATCAATTTTGATTTAATATAATATTTTCTCTATATAAAAACCAAAATCCATTTACAAACACCTATACCATGAAGTTTTAATTGGGAATCAGAGGAGCTTTGGTAGAATTCGCCCAGCTCCCAAAGGCTCCGATTTTGTTTTTCTCTGATAAATTTTATGCTCCCTGTGACACCCCTTGTAGCCAGAAAACTATGATTATTCTACATTACAAATTTTCAATCGGGAAATAGAATTATGTTCAAAACCAAAAAATGTTTTCTGCATTGTGTTTGTATTTGTTCTAAATTTCATTTAAACGTCCTTCTTTAAAAGTTATGGGAACTGTGAATAAATATAATCCAAGATATAACCAATAATAAGCAATAAAATGAATGAAAATGATACTATTTATGTTAATTACTAGTTATGTTATTAAATGTTAATAATAAAATGTTAATAAATGTTAATAATAAACTATTCAAACTATTTAAAATGAGAGTGGGGATAAATATAAATATTTCTACATGTTCAACTTGCTTCTGTTTGACTATTTTTTACCTATAGTCTTGGTCACCTTTTAACTGGTAAGGCAGTAAAAGCCATAAACTAATATGTACTCAGATATATTAAAAATGTATGTAGTCATTCATTAATTTAAGACTTAATTTTCTGCAAGTAGCAAGAAGAAGCTGAAAGTACATTGAATCTGATAAATAAATTATCTATTAAGTCCTCTTTTTGGACACCTTACCATGTTTTTTTTTATGTTATTGGGAAAAGATAACATCTAACTTTAAGGCAGAAGGAAATTTTCTATTTAGAAAGCACTTTGCTGCCCACAGAATACAAGGAATGCCCCTGCAAGGAAAGAGTTTGTTTTACATCCCTCTGAAATTAAACATATGCACTGTAAGGTTTGTTTAAATTATATTTCTAGTATTTTTCTTACAAACTATTTAATCTATTGGAGCAGCTCATTTTACCCCCAAACTCCATGTATTTTGGTATAATTATTTTTAAAATGTTGGAACTATCATCATTAGTGTCTCCACTGCTTATTTTAAATGTTATTGCTTGTCTTTAAATGCTTATTTTAAATGTTATTGCTTGTCTTTTCAAAAGCAAACAAAAAGTGCAGCATATTGTTAAGCTTCAAGAGGCTTGTACAGAAATGTTCACGTTGCCTCTGAAAGCCTCTAAATCTCTGAACCACAGCAGCATGAGCATTGCTCGGAGTGCAGGGCTGCCCCAAAGTCAGTCACCCTTTTCTATATGTGCTAATAAGTTTGATTTTGGAAGGACAATGTGTACATTCCCCAGACAGGCAGAGCGTGTGTGAAACACGCTAGTCCATGCTGAGCTACTCAGTGAGCTTCAGCAGGGACAGGAGAAGCTGAAAATGGCTCTCATCTGTCTTGTGGTCTTTGAGACAGAGCATTAACTCCTTCACGGCCAAAAAAGGGGGTTCTCATTTTGATAGTGGCGCATGCAGGAATAAAGAAAAAAAAAACGAAGAAAAAAGAACTAATTGAATTATTAACAAGAAGATCAAAATTGCATGCATTAACTGGACATCGTAACTGCTGAAAACTAAAGGTTTGAGGCTACCAAGGAAAACATTTTTTTTCCAATTGTATTACTACCACAATATTAAATCTTGAAACCACCTAATTCGTGCAGTGTATTTTCATTTCAGTGCAATTTAAATACAAAACCACAAAGATTCACCACCCAATCAGCATGCATGCACAATTGCAAAATAAACACAGAGATACTCAGCATGGTACAAAACACATTCATTAAAAAGTAGCTCTGTTTCAATGCTTTAAAAGAGAGAGAGAGAGAGAGAATGAAGGGAGGGGGGGGAGAGAGAAAGCTGAATGTCCCCTAAGGAGTTAAAACAGGACTACTATATTTTCATGCATCTCCTGCTTTGACAGATGAAAAATGTCAACTGTCCTGTTTTTATTTTCAAGCTTTTGCACTATTCATCTGGTTCATTAGTGCATCTTGCTTCTGCCCCTGACAGCTGCTCGCCCTCTCCTCCCAGCAGCTGAATTTTTCAGGCTAATTTGATCCTCCACACTGAGACGATCGCCAGAATGATTGACTTGCTCCCTGACCTCCAGGGTCTGACTTCCCTGATTAGTATTCTGGGGGTGTCTGTGGGACGAAAGCCCCCCTGTCTGTCTTCAGGGCTGGTGGCAATGCTCTCCCCCACCACCTCGCTCGCTCATTCTCTTCTTTTGAGGGGGGGGGGATCTGTAAGCCACCACCCTACGACCCTGTAAGGATGCAATTACTGTGCTGAACAATAAAGGAAATGTGTAATATCTACTTTTTCATGTAAAGGTCCATGTAGTGGAAGCATGGCATGTTGATTTTAATTAGTAAAGTCTACCTTGTTGCATATCAATTAACACAGGGTGATTAGAGTATTTTAAATTGTTTTTATTTAAGCATTCCCAGAATATTTAAAAGTCTAATTTTCTGACTGTAAAATTAACCTTCAACAACAACAACAACAACAACAACAACAAAGGTAAACAGTTAAGGAAAGAGGGCAATTTTTAACAAACTGTAAAACCAGCCTTCTCCAGCCTGGCGACTTCCAGATATGTTGTAGCTTCAACTTCTAGAATTCCCAAGCAGCAACTCTGGGTGTTGCATACTGAACACATCTGGAAGGCAGCAGGTTGAGGAAATGATATCCCACAGAATAGCAGTGAATAGAAAGCACACTTAATTTCAGATTCAGCTAAAGCCCAACCAAACTGTCAGCTATTAATATTAGCATTCACATAAAATGTTAGCTGAAGAATTATTTACTGGGAAGCTATATAATCTAGGAAAATCTCATGCACATTCAAACATTTCTCTTATTGCTGATTTGAAAAATAATATAAACCAATGGAACTAATATAAGAAATCCTTAAATGCATTTTATGTTGAATATATTGAGCAAGTCAAGAATTAATTTAAATATTAAACTTGTACCATAATTAAGTTACAAAATTCATGCATTTCAATCCTGTTATTGGAACTATATTGAATAAAATCCTCTGTTCTGTAAACTGCCCTACAATTATTTTTATTACAAAACTAATGGTCCACAAATTCCTGTTTTTTACAGAAACAATTGCTGAATGGATTTTGAGTGAGTGAAAACTGAGGGAGTGAAATAAAATTATGGCCACTTATAGTGTAACATAACATTTCTTTATTATTTTGCTGTGCAATATGCCATTAATGTGTCCCAATCCTTAATTTGTTTGCTAAATTTTAAGGAAGATAGAAAAATTTAATTCTTTAAAACATAATCTTACTATATAACGACAATTATCTGTCAAAAAATTAGGTAACATGGCAATTGTGAAAAAGAAAGGAATAATGTAAATACAAATCCTAGTTATTAATTTCACAAATAGCACAATTATACAAATAGCAGCATCAGAAAAAGTTTTTTAAAAAAATCCCAGTTTAAGATATAATTACTAATAAATCTCCAAAAGAATGCTCTCATTAAATATTTATTTCTTTTATAATTTAGTCATCAAGTGGTAGTTGAAGTAAGTAATTATATATAGCACTAATCTAGATTAAATAGTGCTGTCTGTATACATGAGTCTGGGAGAAAATAATTATTTTAGCACTGAATTGTTTTGTTTTGTTTAAAGAAAACCTTGTTATAGTACTCAGAAAATCCTAATATTGTAGGGTTTTTTTTCCCCCCTTGATAGAGAGCCTTGGTGAATTGTGCTGAACTTCAATGAAAGTGGTTTGCCATTTCCACCTTGCATCAGTCTGACAGAAAGTTTTGTAGAGAGCATTGTAGAGAGTGAAAGACTGCAAGCCCAATGGGTAAATTTTTTAGAGCTTGTTAATAAACATCCAGAAGGTTTTGGTCGAATTTGGTTATCTTGCTGATCTCATTATAATTAACATTTTACAAGCTAGAATTACGACTAGTATAAACAAACCAAATGAAGGAATATATTTTCCTGATATTATTTTTCTATAGATCCTTTACCTCTGTATTAAAGCTAATTAATGGTCTTGTGTTTAGTCAGTTATATACAAATAGACAGCCTCTGATATACCATATAAAAAGGACAGAATATTAGTTTCCTAAGTGATAATCTGATTTAGCAAAGTTTAAAGATAATGTTTAAGATTCAGAAAACAAAAGTTTAATAATTAAAGAAATAATAGCTGATACTACAAGTGTTGACTGGCATATGCCCTTAATAGGTCCATTTCATGTGAAGATAATGTTTTCAATTTCAAATTGCCACCTTGATACTGTTGTTAACCTTGATACTGAAAGATGAAGACCTTGAAAGAGATTATTTTGAGAAGTATATGCCCCAAATTTTACAAACATTTCTATTACATTCTCTTTATATTTTGAGCTAAAGCAAATGTGCAAATTTCACCACATATTACCTGTAAAATGCCAGAATTCTTTGCTTTCAGCTAGTACTAATTTATGGAATTAATATTCAACAGAATCATAACACAAGTAGAAAAACACTTTGATCAACAAAACATATCAACAAACTATGCTCATTAAAATTTGTCAGTATTACCTCATATAACAGACATCCTAGAGACCAGATATCTGATTTGAAGTTATATCCATTTTCATGGATTCTTTCTGGAGACATATAATAAGGTGTTCCCACTACAAAAAATATAAATACATAATAAACAAAAATAAATAAATCAACTTCAAGCAATGTATATTCCAACGTTCATCCTGAAGAATTACTATTCAATATTTAAACACAAGAGTAAACTTCAGTAAGTGAAAAATTATTCCAAATAATTTAAGCTTTGCTTTATGAAATTAATTTCATGATAACCTATTTAAAAAGTAGCAGTCCCCCATAATTATCAATAAACCAAAATTTAATATTATAACTAAAGTTTCAATCATAAATTGATAGAATTCTATATGAATTTATGCAGCATTTATGAAATAAATATATATATATCGGTTTTATAACTAAAAGGTTTCCCATTTATTTTTATTTCCTTCACTGAATGAAACTCATTAGATATGATTTTGGTATGTCTATATCCTGTCTTAAAAGTAGAGCCAACATCCAATCCAACAATGTTGCTTAAAGATAATCAATACATCTTTTAAAAGGAAATAGCATCCTCATGTTATTAAGGCAAAAAAATTGTAAAGACTTTTTCCTAATAATGAAGGTTTGTGTATATGTGTATATCATAAAATTTAACTAGAACAATAATTAACTGTAGTTAATAGAAACAGAAATGGGAAAAACATAAAAAAGATCAGAAAAATTTAGTAAGGCATATGTTATCCTGTTCTAAGAGATATTTCATATGGGATAGCAACCTGAATAAGGTCTCTTATTTTATAATACACCTTGGCATATTGATTCATTATCCCAGTTTCAGAAATAATGTTGTATATATCTGTATAGTAATAGCACTTATATACCACTTCACAGTCTTTACAGCACTCTCCAAGCGGTTTACAGAGTCAACATACTGCCCTCAATAATCTGGGTCCTCATTTTACTGACCTAAGAACGATGGAAGGCTAAGTCAGCCTTGAGCCTGTTGAGATCAGGAGTGGGTTCGAGCTGGCGTTACTACCAGTTCGCTTGTGGGTGAGCTTCGGATGCACACTGCATGCAAATGCACAATTCAATGGAAATTGTTCTGCGTATGCGCAGAACTCCAAAAGAAGATGGTGACAGTGGTGACCGGGGAACCAGTTCAAGGGCGTGGCCAGCCTGGGTCGCTGCCAGTTCTGCGATCCAGGCCAGGACACCACTACCGATTCGACCAAACTGGGCTGAACCAGTAAGAACCCACTTCTGCTTGGAATGTACAGTAACTTGAAATATGTTGAATATTGTAGTTGTAAAAAACAATGGTGACTTTAGAATAAACCTTTTCACCTTGCTTTTCATGTCACAACCTTATAGCAAATCCTCATAGCAAACAATACAAATTGCAGTTTTAGGACCTTTTTGAAAAGCAACAACCTCACACAAAGTAGAAACACAAATTAAGAAAGAAAAAAAACTTGCCTCACCAAAACCAAACAAATGAAGTCAACATTTTTGCCTCTGCATTCTTAAATACCCTCTTAATTATACAATACCTCATCAAATACAGTTGAAGGATCAATAAGCCAACCACACCAACATAGAAGAACCTTTAATTTAAATGCATTTTAAAAACAAAATACAAAAATATACTCTGAATATAAATTGAAAACACACCAAATCAATTAGTCTATTATTTGCGTTAAGAACTTATTATCTACACTTTCAACATTAGCAGCAGTCTGTGAAGCATGATGCTATAGATATAAACTTTTGCATTTACCTAATGGTTATTTATGTGGATTTCAGGTAGGCAAAAAGTTGCAACTAAAGTAATTCCATTATGCCTGGACAGGAAGCTGCTATCCAGAAAAAAATCCAAGTTAATATTATCTGTGTAGTAAGACTAGTCTCAGAGCAGTCTCAGGTCCAATACGCTCTGCTTGATCCAGGTGAATCAATGGCTGCTGGTAGTTAATGAAGGGACATGCATTTGTAGAAGAAGGGACCACAGAGAGATGGATAAGGCACGTAGAGAGGAGCTCCTGAAATGTTTTGTGACTGAAAACCTAGCCTGATTCCTTGACTGAGACTCCTAGTGTCCCGGTGGATATCACTCAAATGTTGTGAAGTAGAAATTATGCCTGAATCACTCAGGAAGGGCAAGGATTGTTTGTGATTTGTCCACGTTTGCTAGTATTTGCAACTCTAGACGGAGGGGAGGTGGCTGCCAAAGATTTGAGTGGCCCTCAACTGGTTTTCAATGGTCAGGCTCAGGTAGCACAGGCAGAACAGATTCATCTAAGGAAGATGAATTAACCATCAAGCCAACTTCAAGCTGTGGGCAGAGTGACAACATATCAGGTGCTCAGAAAGGAGAACCCTCTCTTCGCGGGAATACTGATTGGTGGGCAAGATACATATACTTATCCCTAACACTGTTTGTGTAAATCAGGTCTGTCTGCATGCATTTTCTGGTTCACCAACATAGTACAAAATTCTTCTCTGAGCTACCTAACTAAGCAGACAATATCCTTTTTCTCCTGAGCAAGGTCTGATACATAGGGGTACTCAAACAGGGGTCATCATGCTTATGTTCATCAATGCTAAAATCAGGGCTCTGACTTAAAACTGATTCACTAAAGAACCTGCCGCATTCAGCAGATCAAAGAGGTATTGGCCTCCTGGCTATTTCAAATCCTTTCATATTTTTGATGCTGCGGCAAAAAATCTCCAACAAAGGAGCTCAGAAATTTAAACAATCTGCTGGAATTTAGGATTCAGCATTTTGAAATCTAACACATCTCTACTGATGAATTGTCCAACTACGCTGTTGTGTTCTGATTATACTCTAAATCGTGCATATTTCTAAGAAAAAATAAGTAATTCTGATTTCAGTTTAAGAGAAGGGCTGAGAAAAAAAACTCAGCCTAATAATGAGGTTTAAAGGGTCGTATTTTATCAAATACCTTTTAGCCAACCATTCTCCAAAATGTATTATTACATTAAAGGAGTGAAGATATTGATAATACACAAAGATTTTACAGAGTTTAACTCAAAGCGCTCCATTGGCACTCAAACACTTTTTGCCCGAAGACTGGAAGCTTCCGATGGGGCGCTTTGAGGAGGCGAAATGGAGCCGCCTCAAAGTATCGTACCAGCGCTCAAACACTTTTCGCTTGGAAGCTTCTAGGAGCCATGATCTTATGCGACTTCAGGCACCCATCCGCTTTTGCCGAGAATGGGTGCCTGAAGTCCTGTGAGATCAGGACATCCAGAAGCTTCCAGCCTCTGTGTGAAAAGTGTTTGCATGCCAACGGGAGGCTTGAAGCAACCCGATTTCACTGCCCCAAAGCCTTCCGTCAGCACCCAAAGACTTTTTTGCTCTGAGACTGGAAGCCTTCGGAGGAGACTCACCGAAGCTGCCTAGTGCTCCAGCGAGTCAGAGAAGGTTCTCCTGCTGCTCTCCCTCTGCGCTCAATGCTCCACTTTTGGAGCACCAGAAACAGGCAGAGAAACCCCGGCAGAGAGCCTGGAGGGGAGACAGCTCGCAAGTTAAGTGAGTCGGTTCCCCACCTGGTGGGGGAGAATAGGCAGGGTGAACTTTGCCTCTGGCTGCTTGTAAGGATGACTGCTGTGGTGTTGTAACATTTGTAACTCGGGACTGTGTTGTAAGTACTTGGGGGGATTATGTCGCAACTTCAAACAGTTGTTAAGTGAACTGTCATAACTCAGGGATTGCCTGTATATAGGGTAATTGCAGGAAATCTTGACAAAAGAAGGGATTCTCTTGCTCTGAATCTCACTGCACCAATAAATACATTTCTTGTAGAAATAATAAGTTTCTACCATAGGCTGCATTAATCAAGCATTCAAACCAAAAACAAAGACTGACACACTTCAAAAACTATATTTTTTTTGTAAAGTAATCTATTAAAATCCCATTCAACGAGTGTCATCAAAATCAGACATAACGAAAGCAGCTTAATTTTGAATGAGCATTTTTCAATCCATAGAAATGAAATTTATTTAACAATTAAACATATTTTAATCTATATCGACAGACAGCTGAAATTCTTTTAATTTAAAATACATCAAATTAAAAGTTTGCTGCCTATACAGTGCTCTAGGTGTATAATATTAACTTCCACTTTTAATTACACAAATAAAAATTTTCTCACCTAGAGAATGTGCAGCTGTGGTTTTAGAGCTGAAAAATCTTCCCAATCCAAGATCTCCAAGTTTTACTACTCCTGTAGCAGTAATGAATACGTTTGCTGGCTTGATGTCTATAAGAAAAAGCAAAGTATTGTATCATGCTATACCTTTAATAGAAAAGAAGCCCATTATTAAATATTATATGAAGTATTATTGTTTGATCAATGCTTGTTTCCTTTAAAAAAATACAACAAAAACATTTTAAATTATTTGTTTCATCTGGTGGTTAAGACACCAAGCTAGAAACCAGGAGTGTAAATTCTAGTCCCACCTTAGGCATAAAAAGTCAGGTGGGTAAATTTGAACCAGTCACTCTCTCTCAACCCAGACCATTACACAGGACTGTTGTTGTGGAGAAAATAGGAGGAGGAAGGACTATTAGACGATATGTTATTTATAAAAACCATAAAGATGGGATAAAAGCATCTAAAAAGTATGAGCATTTATATATCTAAATTATATCTGTGACAAGTAATATTCAAACTTTAAGTACAGTTGAATTTAACGTGCAAGTTACTAATTAAAATAAATGTGTTTATCCCTGCACTAATTTTAGGCTGAAATTCTTTATCCGCTTTTTAGGGAATAAATGCTATGAATTCAAGACGACTTGCTTCTGTAAAGAAATAGTTGAATTCCATAGTTCTGTTTAGTTTTATAGATAGTGAAAAAATGATGCTCTATGGGTGGGCAACAATGACTTTACTAACCATGTATCAGCTTCATAATTATTATAAGAATAGTCATGATAATACACCTAGTAACATAATTCATTTCCTGAATGTTTTGGGACATTTCCAAATTTATTTGGACAAATATTTAATTATTAATGAAAGCTATGCTTCTAAATGTTCAAATAAAAAGTTTATGCAAGGGCTGATATAACAGCTTAACTCATTTTGAGACCGGATTATGCAACTGCGTGGTCTTCTCTATTATTTAACTGTCCACTCAAATTACCTTTGACCTTTCTGTCATGTTCTGAACTGTAGTTTATGTCCAAATATGGAATTCTTCTCTTGAGTCACCTGTCTGAAAGCTACCTTAGTTATAAAACAGGATTTAGACTAAGTTGGTTTAATTTAGTTTCTATACAATCTTAAATCATAATGAGGTCGTCTTATGAATGTCAGAGGCAAATGCATTTAACTAACCTACTCTGGATCCACCTCACAGTGCTGTCAGAAATTATTTTCTGTTATGTGTATACAATTTTATAAATAAACCTTAATGGCAAAGGGTGAAATATGCATATTTAATACATATTCATTACAAGACACTCTTATTTCATTGCTGGACTTCATATCCTTCTAGTTATCCAAGAAACAGAAAGAACTTAAAATTTAAAAATGGTGAGAAATTTCAAACAAATTCTACAAAATAAACTAGAGTCCATTTGAAGCCCTATTCTAGGATGAAGAGGAAATCTTACTTATTCAATCATTTGATTATATCACACTTTCCAGATATGTTAATAAGTTATTATGGCTAGACTCTATTGACTACCAACGGATAAAACTGCTCACAGCCATGCTGATTTAGATGAATTTTTATACAATAGCAATCCATATGAAATAATAAGATAAATAATAATAATGAATTTTCTGCCGCCATCCAGGCCACCAATGAGAAGGAAAAGGCAATCTTTGTGGCATCTGTGACCAGTGATGGAGCAATTACAGGAAGTATGCTTCCCTTCTTCCTGCAAAAAAGAAACGTTTGATCTAAATGCCGGCTGTTGGTTTAAGAGATATAATCTGGCCTCCATCCACTAGCCACAGATACCATCAAAAGGGCTTTTGGAATTTGTAGGCATTTGCACAGAAATGACTGAAATGTTCCAGTTTTGGAAGTATTACCTGTTTTGTATAGGCCGCCCCATGTAATCAAGAGGCAGGGTACAAATCTTCAAGATACATAAAAATAAGAATCTACCACTCATAAAACAGCATGCATATGAATGTAGATTACTTATTTTAAATTAAATGATACTATATACACATAGACATACATGTTTGTAACTGACTGGGGCAGCCGATAAATCTCATTAAAAAATAAACAAAATATAACTAGAGAATAGAAAGTATGTTAATGGTTTTTTAAACAATTGCATACATAAAAATGTCTTTTAGTTGTCTATTTTAACAAATAAGGACAACTGGAAGGGGCCCTCACTTGTCTTTGTAGCTCATGTAATATATACTGCAGCCTCTACATTTGTACAACATACCGTAGTTGGGATGAAATGCAATTTATTACCTCGATGCATGACACGCCGGGAATGCATATGTTCCAAGGCACTGCACAGCTGAACAAAGTATTTCCAAACTGTCCTTTCTGGGATGAGTCTCTTCTGCTTCTTGAAATGCTTTGAAATAATAAAATAACAATGAAATCTAGATTCGATATTCAGTAATGATGCAGAGGATTATTAAAATGAACAAGCCTTCAGCTTTTCAATCGAGAAAGCATTAACACAACTGGGGAAGGAGGACCATGTTTATACAAAGATAGAGATGGTTCCTCAGGGATGTGCCTTGGATGAAAAGAACAAATATTCAAGAAAACAGCTTGGACAAGTCTGATAGGTGAAGATGAGACTGGGAACTTATGTGTAACTTAAACTGAACCCTTTCTTTCACAGGTGATAAGCCCTACTTTGGTTATGGCTATCTTATCCCCAATTCTAATGAATATAATTTAGATATCAGATCATGGCTTAGAATAATATGAATCACGTAGGCTCACATGGTCTTCTCCTGCATTCTTCAGAACAACATCATGTAAAAAAATAAGTTGCAGTGTCAATTGTTTAACTAGTCATAATTTAACATTGTTTCTGAAACTTAAATTGCAGTTCATCTTAATA